TTATTGATTTCAGATAGGAAGGGAGACAGAGAGAGGGATAGAAACATCAAAGATGAGAATCATTGATTAGCTGCCTCCTGCACACCCGCTACTGGGGATCGAGCTTGCAACCTGGGCATGTGACCTGAATTGGAATCGGATCTTGACCTCCTTCCTGGTTCATAGGTTGATGATCCCCCACTGAGCGACACAAGCCAGGCCAAAGTACTACTGTTCTTGATATCTTAAAACTGTCTCTGAGGACTGTGGAAATTTACTCTTCAAGTAAACAAACCCACAGATTTGGAAAAGTGACACTGATCATCTGGTTCTAAAACTTACCATTTAGTAATCAGTATAGGTTTTTCTATTGCATTGATGATTGGCTCTTACACATTCAACAGCTGGCATTAGGCCACTATCTATTTTAAAGTGACACCAGGGCTAGTCTTGGTTTTAATCTATTGATCAAATAGCCTAGAGCCCAAATCTACCAGAGGAAAAGAAAAAACCACTGTAATTGGATAAGTCTGAGGTATGCCTTCATAGATTCATGATCCATGTTTTTTGAAAATTTTACTTTTTTGCCAGAAATTTTGACCGTGTTGAATCAAAGCATCTAGGCCACCACAACTGAGTCTATTATATAAACCCATAACCATGTTACAAAATAGATGGCACAATGCGGTACAAAAATATCTTTCTAGCAACATGAGGGCGCCCTGCAGTGGGTCATGTTCAAGGGCAACTTGAAGAGGGGCGTTCTCTCCCCTCCAGAGCAATTCTAGGAAGGGAAGAGATCTGAGCTGCAGAGACTGGGAAACATGGGATTGTCTCCCGAGCTACGTTCCAACAATCCAAGCATAAAGGTACAGGATGCCCAAGAGATCAAATCCCCAATCTTGGCAGGTATTTTAATTCTTATAAAAATGACTCCCCACCTCTCATGTTGAGCCTGTGTTTGCTGGTCACTCCACAAAACAAAGCATCCTGCGGTGTGAAAGATTCGTTCCCCTTGGCCACCAATCTCTGCTCAATTGCATGAGACCAGGGCAAACTGTGCTTCCGGATTGCAACTCTATGTCACTCATTCCTCATAATTAAGAATTTCACTTAGGTTGGAGAAAAAAGCAGGCCAGACCCTTGCTGTTCTGAGAAGTGTTTTATAAGTATTCTTCTCATACAACTGCAAAGCATCAGAGCACCATGGAAATGTTTAGTGGGTCCTCAGAAAGGTAAATGCTGAATTACCATATGATCCAGCAATTCTGCTCCCAACTAGGCCCCCAAGAAAGTGGAAAACAGGGACACAAACAGAAATTCGTACACTGGTCTTTATAGAGGCACTGTTCACAAGAGCTCCAACGACCCATTGGCAGATGAATGAATAAGCAAATGTGATATATACCCATACAAGGGATATTATTAATTTTTGAAAAGAAATGAAATTCTGATAGGTGCTACAGCATAGATAAACCTTGAGGACATTATGCTGAGTGGAATAAGCCAGACACAAAAGGACAAACACTATATGATTTCCCTTAGGTGAGTATCTAGAACAGACAGATTCATAGAGACAGAAAGGAGAATACAGTTTACCAGGGGTTGGAGAGGGGGAATAGAAAGTTATTATTTAATGCAGCGGTCGCCAACCGGTGGTCCACAGACCACTCATGGTCCATGAGGTCCGAAAGGTTGGCGACCGCTGGCTTACTGGGTATAGAGTTTCTGGTGGGGATGATTAAAAAAAGTTCTAGAAGTAGATACTGGTGATGGTTGCACAACACTTTGAACATACTTAATGGCACTAATTGGTACAAATAAAAATGGCAAATTTTATAGTATACATATTTTATCAGAATTAAAAGTAGGAGCTTCCACAACAATCCAAAATCTTACCCAATATCGATTGAGGGGGGGGGAGGGAGACTTATAATCTGATAGATAGAGCACCTGAATTAATCTGAAAAGTAATCACATTATTTTAAATCTTAGAACACATATCCTTATGTGAATAGGGGGTTAAGGTTCTGATATGTGAATAGGGAGTTAAGTTTTTCTTAAGTTTCCTTTTCAAGACCTGTGCGAAGCGATTGGGGAGGTGACTCAGCTGGGAATCCAGCAAGCAGAGCAGATAAGCATGGATAGGCCGACCCACCAGGAGTCAAAACATCATCTCGTCAACATCATCTCATCGCCTGATGACTAAGGACAATAGCTGACGTCTGCAGACCCCCGGGCCTGTACATAACACCCTAGCCCAGCAGAAAGCATCACTCTAGAGCAGCCGTGGGCAAGGATCCGGCCCTTTTGAAATGAATAAAACTAAAAAAAAAAAGACCGTACCCTTTTTTGTAATGATGTTTACTTTGAATTGATATTAGTTCACACAAACACTCCATCCATGCTTTTGTTCCGGCCCTCCGGTCCAGTTTAAGAACCCATTGTGGCCCTCGAGTCAAAAAGTTTGCCCACCCCTGCCCTAGCCCCTTCCCCTTTATAATCCTGTTCCTAGCACCTTGCTGTAAGACACGCGGTCTTCTTGGTGTGCTGGCCTTCTCAATAAATGCCTTATATGAGTCACCTGCCTTTGTTATTGGACACAGCGACAGGCAGCCTGAGCCCAACTGGGGATTTCCTGGTAACAATATCACTGTGAGAAATGTATGACCCGATCCATTATGGGCACCTTCCTTTGAGCTGACTTTTCTAGTTATAGGTGCATCCGTTACATTTCGGAATTGACTATTTCTACAAAGCATTCTCAATGATACTCCTCATGGCAAACTTTTGTGTTCGCCTCAGACAATGAGTACAGCGGGCCTTGGATTTATGAAGGAAAACTTCTGTTCTGGCCCACGGTTACCATGCCATATCGGCAACTGTCACTTTAAGATGGTGGTTGGCCAAGAACAAAGCAAACCCATGTGACAAGAGACAGAAAACACAGGAAATCAAGCTGGTTGTGTAATGGCCTCCCAATGCCTAGGAGTCCCTAGCTGAAGTCTGTCAATTCTCCCGAGTAGAGGGGCAAACAGAGACATCCACGAGCCAGAGATCTTGCCGTGATGTCGTCTGCGCCACCTACCTGATGAAGCAGTCCCGGCCATCCCGGCTCGCCGTCATCTCCCATCCATAGGGGGGGACCTGGTTCAAGCCCCAGGTTCCCGAGGGAGGTGGCCAGCCTGAAGACTTCGTCCTGTGGCTGCGAAAGAAGAAAGAAAAGCATCATTACAGCGGACTCCTGCACATTTCTTCTGAGACGCCCAGAAGGCGCATAGGACCTGCTCCATGCAACTGTGGGCTGTATCCTCAGCTGACTGCGTGACTATGTTGTGTCAGGTATCATGCTTTGTAATTTTCTGGATAGAATCTTGCTCACTCTTTTTTTTTTTAATCTGTCTTTATTGATTTCAGAGAGGAAGGGAGAGGGAGAGAGAAACATCAATGAGGAGAGAGAATCATCGATCGGCTGCCTCCTGCACGCCCCCTACTGGGGATCAAGCTCACAACCCGGGCATGTGCCGTGACCAAGAAGCAAACCGTGACACTCCACCACTGAGTGACATGGGCAGGGCTAGCAAAATAGTTTTGACCTAACCTCTAAAGGGGTTTAGAGCAAGCATGTCAAACTCACGGCCCGCAGGCCGCATGCAGCACACAATGAATATTTTTGTGGCCCAGCCAATATGCCAATATAATGGTATGTAAGAAACATTTTAATAAAAATTTTGTAACTTAATTTTTACAGCATCCTGTCACACATAATTATTAATAATGAACTACAACATTCGCTAATGACTGATGACTATCATCGTGTTGCATTCATTTCCTTTACGCACAGGCGCACCATTTCTCTCCACTAATACCAGCAGCTAATATTTTAGCAGCCGATGGCCACGTCATTATTCCTGGACTGACTTGTTTGGTGTACGCAACAGGAAATATTTCGCTTTCAGAGGAGAAGAAAAATAGGTTTTGTGTGACAGAGGGCCCTCTTAGAGAAGCTTTTCCTTCATTAAGTTATTTCTGTACACCTTTCATGCCAGTTGAACTTTCTCAAAAAGAATTTCAGAGAAAAGATAATTCTTACTAATTCCCTCTCAGCATATATCCTACAAACTAATCTTTTCTGAGATGTTGGTGAGAGGTATTTTGTAAACTTTTTCTTTTTTCCCCTTATGTCTTACATAGATGAAACATTTCTATTGTGTATTAATTGTTAAGGGCTAGACCAGGGGTGGGCAACCTTTTTGACTCGAGGGCCACAATGGGTTCTTAAACTGGACCGGAGGGCCGGAACAAAAGCATGGATGGAGTGTTTGTGTGAACTAATATCAATTCAAAGTAAACATCATTACATAAAAGGGTACGGTCTTTTTTTTTTTTTTTTAGTTTTATTCATTTCAAACGGGCCGGATACGGCCCGCGGGCCGTAGTTTGCCCACGGCTGGTTTAGAGACTCACCCGGTCTATGAGCCTCAATTCAAGAAACCCCCACTTAATGACCCTGGAGCGCTCAGTTCCCACCAATATTTTCAGCTACATAAGGTGTGTGTGTGTGGGGGTGTTTCTCTTCAAATTATCACCACACACTTGTCTTGCATGTGACAGATTTTTAAAGGCCCGGGTCTGATATCCGGAGAGTGGTTTGATTTATGCCCGGCAACCCCTGCGCCACACCAGCTGGGCTCTCGGGTGCCTTTTCCCAGAGGCCCTGTGAGGTGAATGCACTGACCCATTTTACACACGAGGAAACAATGACTGGCTCAGCAGGATGAAGCAAATTTCCTAAGGACACACAAGCCAATTTTGAGCAAAAGTTCTGCACACTTTCCATGAACTGAGCATTGCCGAGAAAAGATACTAGAACAGTTTGGCACATAAGTGGACATCACACCACAATATAAACCCACGGGTCAAAATAAACTCCCAGTTTTATGGGTCTAGGGGTCAAACAACCCAAGCCTCAGTATCCTGAACGCCTCTCACAAAAGGCAAACTTTCGGCGCCTGTAACCACACTGCAAGCAAGGTGGGCCATTCAGCCCGAGACAAACTCTCCATGTCATTTACAGCGAAAAGCCACATATCAGCTTTGACATTTTGCCTCATCAGCAACACGGAAGGAGCGGTTACTGAGAATTTGCTGAAACGGTGCCTTCGCAAGATGAAGAGGAAGGGGGAAGTGACTCCACGTGACCAACAGGTGGTCACCATCCCCAGCCAGAGGCCCGCACCCCGTTGCGGGGGCTCCTGCAGAAATTCCACTGATCTCTCATCGATGCCCAAGACCCCCGCCGAGCTTATGGATGCAAAGGAAATGAGCGATACCAGTTCAGGTTGAGCAATATTGCGCTTCACGCAGCCTTTGGATCCAGGTGTAGTTACTCTCTGGATGGCCTGCCCAGGCCTCACCATCCGCCGGTCAATACCCCGCCTCGCCTCCGACGCCAGGCACCACATTCACAACTTCACTCTCAGTGGCAGATCTCATGGGAACAGCACCCAAAACCGGGGTGTCAGCCTTTCTTTTAGGATTTCTTTCTTTCTTTTTATTTATTTATTTTGATTTGTCAACCTTTCTTTAAAAAGATATCTTTTATTGATTTCAGAGAGAGAGGGAGAGGGAAAGAGAGAGAGAAACATCACTGATGAGAGAGAATCATGGATCGGCTGCCTCCTGCACGCCCCACACTGGGGATCGAGCCCCCAACACAGGCATGTGCCCGTGACCGGGAATCAGACCCTGACCTCCTGGTTCATAGGTCCACGCCCAACCACTGAGCCACGCTGGCCGGGCAGGGGTGTCAACCTTTCTGTGATGAGGAGAGACTTCATTCCCCAGGTTGCAGGGTAACGCACCGCAACCCTCCCCCCCAGCTCATGCACTTGACCATGACCCAACACTACTCCCTGGGGAAGCAAGCACATTTCCTGTAAGTACTGTGGAGAGGAACTCTTTTGCATCATGTTAACCGCCTCCCTCGCTTCTCTTGAACTTCCTTTCGGTTTTCCCACATCCATCACGAAGTGTGGTGAGCGAGAGCTCACACATTGAACCCGCGTCTGGCAAATTTAGAATGCACGGCAGGGTGATTTCTGGCCGGATGACTATTCAAAAACAAAGACGCGGGGAGAGCATTTGTTCCTCTTCTTCGTGCAGAAGTCAGCAGCAGCCATTTCCTCGGGCGGTGTTTTACAAAAGGTGCTGCTTTCCTGCAGCGAGAAAACACATGAATTTCCACCCCGAGCTACCCCCGAAACCGCCAATTTCTCTGCACTCGCAGGTGCATGCTTTCTAAGGGGAGGACCGAAAAGAACAGGCCCGGAGGGGTATGAACACAGTATATCCGCTATTACAAAGGCTGGAAAAGGGTTTGTGCAGTGTGAGGTGCCACAAAGAATATTCTTGAAAGTGAAAGGAGACCTATGCTGAGAGCACAACAATTTATTCTGCATTATTAATTTATGTACTGTATCCGAACGTCTACCTTTCCCAGCACAGCTAACTTATTTTATATATATAATTTTTAAATTGATTTCAGAGAGGAAGGAAGAGGGAGAAAGAGATAGAAACATCAATGATGAGAGAGAATAATTGATTGGCTGCCTCCTGCACACCCCACCCTGGGGATGGAGCCTGCAACCCTGGCAAGTGCCCTTGACCAGAATTGAACCCGGGATCCTTCAGTCCACAGGCTGACACTCTATCCACTGAGCCAAACCGGCTAGGGCTCGGCTAACTTACTGAAGACAAAACAGTACACTGTCTTTTCTCTTCTCTTTTCCTTTCTTCCCTTCTCCAAAACCCTCCACACCCACAGTCTAAATCACTAAAAGACACAGCCTCCCTAATATAATTGACATGTAAATGAAAGAACTGTAATAATGAGCTGGAGGAAGCCTGCGTTCTATTATGAGCTACATTGTGTCCTGTCCAGAATGTTCAGGAAGTCGTAAGCAACAGTCCACGAAGTTGTTTCCCAATAAATCCTTTTGTCATAAAACACCAAGTGAAGCTACTGGAAAAATCCACAAACACTAATTGAGTTAATTCAGGTCAAGGGGCAGCAGTTGTTACAAAACAAATAACTGAATAATTAAACTCAGACATGATTAGAAACCTGTCTGTTAATGTGTTGATATGAAATGCATGGGTCAGGGCCCTGGCCAGTGTGGGTCACTTGGTTGAGCATCATCTCATGAGGTCTCTGGTTGGATTCCAGATCAGGGCACATGCCCTGGTTGTGGGCTCGATCCCTGGTAGGTGGGATGCAGGAGGCAGCCAATGGATGTTTCTCTCTCCTTGAAGATTCTCTAGCTCTTTCTCCCTCTCCCTTCCTCTCTCTCTCAAATCAATAAAAACATATTTTTTAAAAAAATACATGGGTCAGAAAGGCATGAGTAGAACTCAAAAACTTAAAACAGGGAGTAGAAAAAAGATAACAGTGTTTGTACATATGTAACAATAAGAGTCTGGAGAAAAAACAAGGATGCAGGTCATAACTGGGGGGACTTGGCTCCCGCGCTATGCAGTGTGCTCACTGGAAGTCCACCCCAACCACAACATCCATCCTTGAAGCTGACAGTTTACTCTCTGCTGGGAAGGTGCTCCAGGAACCTTTTCTGAATCCCACCTCTATGGCTGCACCAAACTTCCCACCACTCCCAAATGCCGCCCATCCAATCATTACTGAAGACACAGTTTCTTCTACCCAGAGGCGAAGAGGTGGCCCCTTGTAGAGCAGCAGCAGGGCCAGTGCATATAAACTAGCTGGTGTGGCTCAGTGGATAGAGTGTCGGCCTGCAGACTGAAGGGTCCAAGATTCCAGTCCGGCCACGGGGACATCCCCGGGCTGTGGGCTCGATCCCCAGTAGAGGGCGTACAGGAAGCAGCCAATCAATGATTCTCATAATTGATGTTTCTCCTTCTCTCTCTCCCACCCCCTTCCTCTCTGAAATCAATAAAAATATTTTAAAAATAGAATAAAAAGAATGGGCTCTATTTTGAAGACAGGCAAGTTGTTAACAACTCCTGACATTTATTAAGGGATTATTCAATGCCAAGCTCTGTGCTAAGGATTCTATGTTGTCTGGCTCACAATATCCTGTGTTATAAAGACTCTGCCAAATAAAGCTCCGTGTAACCCTGGAGGGATACAGGACTCACAATGGTTTTATCCATTCTCCAAATAGAAAAAGG